TTAGGATGTAGGGTAAGCTACCATAACTGGACCATACCACTTCTCCGTAGGTTCAAAAAAACCATAGCATAGTATTGATAGGGACCCTAAACAAAAGCAGGTTTTGGTAACTCGGGTGGTCGTAATCATGTGAGGAACTTCTTGGCATCGTTGATCAACCATCCTCTGTTATCAAATATATACTGTACTCGATCATGCTATGTTAGATTATCTTATATGGGAGTGTCCGAAAATAGGGGACCCTAATAAAGTACCCTAAATAGTAGGATCAAAAATTACAAGGACCCCAAACTAAGGTACCCCTAATTTTCGGAAATTTCCATATTGTGTTCTACTGTACTGTGCTGCATTACGTCATGTTCTAAGTTGCAAACCGCCCCCATGCACCCTGTGCCGGTCGACAGTGGGGCGGGTCATATCAGAGCTAACTATACTCTGTCGTACATATCCGTTTATGTTAATCTGCAAAACGAATAATTGTGTTATATTATGATTTTTTATATAAAAATTGATCTTATGTATTTTACAGCATAAGTTTACAATAGTGTAAGATATTCTGTGATATAAGTATGTGATAATACTATGCCACAGAATGTGTATATATATATATATATATATGTATATATATATATATATATATATATATATGTATTGTACTATGTGTTATGATACTGCATGTCACTACGGTGTACTGTATTGTATTGCGTTGTGTTACACTCTGGTATACTGCATTATATCCTAAACTATGCTATAGTATAATAGTATAGTACAAATTCCATTATCATACTTGTATATCGCCAGATGTCATTGCATTAAAACCTGCATAATATAACCTATCACCTCAGATTGGGTTGTGATATACTAAATTAAATCAAACAAAAGACTGTATTGTATTTTTACTGTAATATGTTACATTACATTTCGCTATAACCATTATATAATAGATTTCATTTGCACACTGTTTTGCACCATGTTACGTCATGTGCTCCCACATTGTACAGGTGAAATCTGTGCCGGCTGTGCGAAAAGCCAAAGTGGTGGAAGTGAGTCTAGCTCCAACCCGACCCCCTGGAAGAAAGCCTTCAGCACCAACATTGAAACCACAACTTCGCCAGATCAATAATATGGGGCCTCAATCATTAGAATAGGGTTTTGGGGCCCACTATACTATAGTTACAATAAGGAACCCGCAGAATAGTATTGGTAAGTATTTAAGTCCCTATATTAACTGCAGTTCAAAACCAAAGGCCCAATAGCCGGCCCGATGCTGTGGAAAGGTGATGACAGAGGGCTCCTGCTCATTTGATATACTGTCAGTGAGGGTAGGAGCCTGAACAAGATGCCCGATAGCACCCATCGAATCGCAATACACTATGATGCATTCCAAGCCCCGAAAACTAAAGACTCTGCACGGCATATGCTCATAAAAACAGGGTCTAGAGCTCGTTCAGGCACCAATGCTGGATCGAAAGATATGCTGGTGGCTCTAGCATGTCACGGACCCACGGCTTCGCAGTCAAAGCTGCAATGGCTTAGACACACGGTAGATCCGGTTGGAGCTCGGGATTTGTTTGCACGGTAGTTGAGTGGAAGATCTGCAGAAAAGCCTACTTTTGTTCTCCCCACAGCAGAAGCTGGGAACATGTCAACTCTCTGGGCCTCCAGAATGCAAAGCTAGGGAGTTTTTTTCGACTAGGAAGTTCTCAGCCTGTTCTACTTGGGGGGTCGGGGGACATAGACATAGTAAGTAGTTAGTAAGTAGCCTTATAAGTACCTAAAAGGGACCCTAATTGGGGTTATGGTACTTATACGTCCCTAAAATAACCGGTTACTAAGTCCCGCGACCCTCCAAGTACCCCTCCACCAGCTTAACTTAAGACCTTGTTCACAATGCCGTACATCAAGGAGACAACGGAACGACTCGTGCTGAGGTGAAAGTAGAGTTGCAACCGCTGTGCCGGCCCAAATGGACGCAAGAGCAGTGAGGGCCCCCAAACAGCGCAAGGTAGGGACATCCCTATAAAATGCTTCTGCTTAAACTTGTGTGCCTTTTGGGTACCTGAGCAGTGGTCGCAACAATAAAACTGGCAGCAGAACAAGTGCGGAACAAAGCAAAAGAGGTAGCCATCTCCTGAAAAAAAAGATACCACTCTCATCGTGATCTGCACTAAGTGGCTCCATCATCGGCATCCCCATCATTATCACCATCACCGTCGTCGTGTCATCTTCATCATCGTCGTCATCATCATCACAAACCCTAAACCCTAAATCTGCAGCAACATTAAAAGTTGGACAACACGATCATTCTCTTCATCATGGCCCTCCTCGCCACACTATGTCATCCTGGTACTCATGCTCCTCCTCCTCCTCCTCCTCCTCCTCCTCCTCCTCAACTTCATCATCGTCATATTATGGGAGTTTCCGAATATAGGGACCCCAATATAGTACCCTATGTAACTAGTAGGACCCTTAGTATAAGGACCCCGAATCAAGGTACCCCTAATTTTCGGAAACTCCCGCATCACCCTAAACCCTAAACCTTAACCTTCTGCACGTAGCCGTCTCGGAGCCAACATTTGTAAGCACTATACTTGGAGGGTCGGGGGACTTAGTAACTGGTTATTCTTGGGACTTATAAGCACCATAACCCCAATTAGAGTCCCTTTTAGGGTACTTATAAGTCTACTTAGTAACTACTTACAAAGTCCCCTGACCCCCCAAGTAGGCTACAACACCTCGTCTTCAAGCTCTGCTGCAGCGGCCCTGGTATCTCGAACGAAGCCCTCACTGTGCTTGGCCACATAAAAGCAAACGAAGCGAGCTTTAGACCTTCTTGGACCCGTTGCCCTTGAGGAAACAAGCCCTACAAAAGCGGATGGTGCCATAACCCTTCACGAAACCCTACATAAAGCCAAGCAGTCCCAAAGCAGTCCATGCGGAGCCGTCAAGATCCTGCTGGAAAACACTTTTCAAGGCGCGCCAAATTTTGTCAAGCCCGCGGATGCTTGGCACGCTGCTTCCCATAACGAGGGTTACAAGGAAATGATGATAAGGGGACTCACTTTAGTTAACCTCAAAAAACCGACCTTTCTGAGGACTTCCAATAAGGAAATTGTAGGCAGGAGTCCTAAAGATGTAGCTTTCAAAGGCTCCAGGTACTTGTAAGAAGACTCGGCACATGGACTTTGCGTCGGTGGGGGGCGCATGGTACTTATTGTCTCTGTAGTCATCATATGGGGACAATAAGAGGATATGAAACATGAAGTACTGTTTGTGCCGACCAGGAAGCGCGCCAAAGTTTAGTGGTTCAGGGCCTTTTCACGCTAAACCCTAGGGAACTTCCTCCCCAATATCCCCTAAGGGTCCATGTACTCATATAGGGTTCCTTTATGGGTACCATAAGGGTTCCTTTGAAGGGACCTATAAGGGATCCATAAGGGTTTAGGGTATAAGGGCCCATGTACCCAAATAGCATATACTTGGACCCCAATGTACCTAAATAGGGACTACATTGAGGCCAATGTATTTATTATATGAGTACATGGACCCTTAGGGATCGGTGCTGGCGCGTGCATGCAGGAAGCAGTTCCGCAGGCTGCGCCACCAGAAGCTATGCGACAGGACTCCAGTCATGGTTTAGGGCTTGGGACTTACCTGGACCTGATTCCATTTCTTTGTAGGGGGCCTTGATAATTAGAATAGGGTTTTGGGGGCACATTATACTATAATTGCTATAATAAGGAACCCCCCGCAACAAAAGATTTGCAATTTGTTTTAGCCCCCTATACGAGTAATCCGCAACCGTTTCAAAGAAATCTAAGGTAATTGCTTAGGCCCGTAATTACTGTTGATGATATAAATCCTGCATGACCCATAATAAGGAATATACCATAATTCCCATATGTTCCTTATTATGGGTAATGCAGGATTTATATCATCCACCGTTACCCTTCTGAAGGCTCCTTCTGATGGTTTACTTTAGTCCTCGGTAGGCCTTTGGAGGGTTCAGCCAGGGTATCAGAGGGGTGTAGCATTTCGGGGTTCACTCAATACCGGGGGTTGTAGGGACACGTCTGTAAATAACGGAGCTTTGTAGAGTTGGGCTTCGAGGTTCAGGGCTTTACACTTCCCAGTAATATCGGACCCCTAATAATTAAAATAGTTTTGGTGCCCGTTTTACTATCAAGGAACCCACCCAAAATGGTATCGGTAATTATATAGGCCCCTATACTACGTCCTCATAATCGCCCCTATAGTAACCCTTATGGACCCCTTTGAAGGAACCCCAGGGTGAATGCCCATTGTACATGCCTGAGGCCCTGCGGGCAGTGAATTCGATAAACACTGGGGTCATGCAGAAATGGCGTTTGCCATGGCGCGATAAGGGCGTGGAAAAAGGCCAGGAAGCCAGGAAAGTGGGTCATGCTCGGAGCGCCCTAATACCCGATCCCTGCAAGATCTATACCCAGAGAACCCAATACCCCTTAAGGAATATACATAAGCTATATAGGCCTTAGTATCATTTGCAGGTATGTTCCTTAGTTAAGGGGTATTGGGATCTGAGGGTATTGAGGTTTATGCCAAGACTGCTCTGCAGCTCAAGAACTGTCAAACACCTCAAGGAGGGGTTCAGGGTTTCGGGTTTCAGGTTTAGTGCTTAATTAGGGTTTAAGGTTCAGGATTTAAGTAAGGTTTAAGGCCTAGGGTTTAGGTTACAAATAAAAACTCTCTTGACAGGGGGAAAAGCAAAACCCCGCACTTGTCCTGAGCTTCGGGCCTCCGCCCTTGGCAGCCAGTGAACCAGTTGTTCCCGGTATTACTCTAGAGGCCTTAGTCATTTGATAAACCCTAGGCAATAGCACTTCGAACGGCCTCCCATGTTACTGCTGTGACGGCTTGACGTTTGAAAGGGTGTGCCGTTCGTGGTCACATGCTTCTTGTAGTACTGATGCCATTCGTGTAGTTGATACGACTGCTTTCACAGCGAAAACAAGTTGACGTCATGACGGGTTAAACTGCCCAGACCGCGAAATTGTTGAAGAAGTCGACGGATCACTTCCTTGGCTGATTGGGACGCTGCTGCACCCAAACATGTCAACTCGCAGCATCAAGTCCTACAGCCCAACCGGAAACCCACAAATTCAACACAACCCTCTCACGCGCTTAAGCTATCGGCTTAAGGTTCAAGGCTGTAAAGGCCTCATAATTACAAGAAAACCCCAAGACTCTGGAGCACGCACTGCCTTCCCAGGTGCGTGTTCTCGACCTCTTCGACATCATCGACGCGGACCGTTTCAAGGCTGCTTGCCCCACCTCAACAAGGGTAGGCTACGGCCCTACATCAAATTACAGAGATTTTTGTGGGCTATGGGAAACTCAAATGCAAGGCAATCTGTTCTGAGATAATTAGTGTCGAGACTACCTAGGTTTAGGGCCTGGGGTGTAGCGTTTAAGGTTTAAGCCCTATTAAATTAAACCTCGCGAACCTAAACCCCAAACTTCTACAGTCCTACAACCCCAAAACCCTAACAGAAACCCAAGGCAACCCAATAAAGCCGTTCAAAAAAGGCCAACAACATGCGGTCCACATCCCAGATCAGACACCGCCTCGGTTGACTCTGTGTTTATTTAGGATATACGTCCATCATGAAGAGGTTGGAGATTTCCAGGTTTTGAGGCTTGAAGTTGTTGCGGCTCTACCTTCGAGACTGTAGCTTCGGCGCTTGCGTCTATAAGCGCAGACAAGAACTACACGCCTAACGACCTAACCTTGCTGGAATCTGATGCTGGTTAGTCCGGAGCCTTAAACCCTACTACTAGTCAAGCCTTGTTTTATGCCTCAGGCATCTGAGACTTTAAACTCGCAGCCCAAAAATGAAGGTCGCAGGGATAGGAATCCCCCAGACCAGGGTTTAGAGATTAGATCTAAGGGTTTACGGTTGGGGGAGTTACGGTTTAAGGGCCGTCCATGCCCTGAGAGACTATACCTAGTCGCTCCAAAGGTGCGGACCAGCTGCTGGTAGGGCACGCATCATTGAGTAGAACTCATTGAAGTCCTTGTCTCCAAAATAGGCGCCCAAAGTAGTTCCGTTTTGGGGTTCGTATATATAGAATCCCTACTATTTGCTTAAGAACCCCCAAAAAATAAAAGATATATTCCTTATGGGGGTAATATAGGGATTATTATTTTTATTTTTTGGTGGTTTCTTAAGCAAATGGTAGATCCTATAGGGTAATCCCCAAAAGGAACTACTTTGGGGCCTCTGGGTAGTTTTCTCCGGACAGAGTTGTTGCAGAGGGGCTTCCGACTCGAGGGACTTGGCTTTTAGGGGTTTAGGGTTTAGGGGTTTAGGGTTTAGGGTTTAGGGGTTTAGGGTTTAGGGTTTAGGGGTTTAGGGGTTTAGGGTTTAGGGGTTTAGGGCTTAGGGTTTAGGGTTTATAGGGTTTAGGGTTTACAGTAAACCCACAAAGTTGGGAACCGGATTCAGGCCAACTAGCGCTGGGATTCCCTATACACTACTCTCAAAGAATGAGGCTATTGGGTTTCCAACTTTTGGGCTTCTACTGTATAGGGTCTGGGCTCCTCGGCCTAGGATTCACGTGGAGGGGGTTAGGTCCCCCATTATTGAGGAGAAGTCCTCGCACAGAATGAGCAGAAGCACTGCAGCTTGTCCCAAGTCCAAAACTGTGACCCCCTAGACTTCCTTACTCGGACAATTGTTTGCTTTGGGCGCTCGCACCCTTTTCGTCAGCCCAAAGGGATGAATCCGACTGAAAATCCTACTTATGAATATGGAAACTCGTGAATATGGAAACTCGCAACAAGACTAAGTGATCAACGCAGTGACAAGCAGCTAAATGCAATAAGCACATGTTGCTGCAACAACAAGACATGTAGATGAAAACAAACGTTTACACGAATGAGTCATGGCTATGAACAGCGTAAAAGTGACTTTGTCTTTTGTTCTCCCTCATTCCATTATGGAAATCCGTACGCATGTGCGTGCATATATGCATGCATGTATGCTGTCATGTCTGTATTCACTTTATCTTACATGTGTATGTACATAAACTATATAAGCATTTACCATAAAGTTTGTCTTGACGGCTACTACTATAACTATTCCTATTACTCGTACCATCGTTATGATGACTACTATTACCATTAAAATTATTACTACCCATAGACCCCATAGTAGCTCCTGTCTGGGATTACCTTATAGAACTCCAAATATGAATCCCCAAAAGGAGCTACTTTGCGGCCATGGGGTACAGTACCCTTACTACCGTTATTACGACTACAATACTCTTACTATTTCTAGCTAAACCCAAGCGTGGACCAGGCCCGTGGACGGTTGTACCACCAAGGAGCGATCATACCGTCCTGATTGGTGTCGAAATCCTGGGCTGCACACCGCAAGCTACGGTTTTAGGGTTGGTTTAGGGTGTACGGTTTAGGGTTTTAGGGTAAGTTTGGGGTCTAGGGTTTTAGGGTTGGTTTAGGGTTTGGGGGCTCTGGTGCGATTGGTGCCTTTCCAGCAATCTCCCAGCGTTGAAGCGGGCGTAGCCATGCAGGGTTGCTTGTTTCGGCTGTCGGTGGGCGATGCAGGAGGGTTAAGAGTTTATGAATTTATTGTGGCAGGTGTAAGCGTTTAGGTCTAGGCCCCAGAGTGACTTGCGTGGCACTTAGGCTTCTTGCATTCTGCCCAACTCTTGGTTCAGGCTTAATCCAATCCTAAACCTTAAATCCTAAACCCTCGACTAAACTAACCTCTGAACCTAATCTTCAGACTCTGCTAAGATAACTCGGAGCCTTCGGTACGTCAGGAAGGCTGACACCAGAGTCTTTGAAGAAGGCTGTCAGTAGGGGTTTAGGGGGTTTAGGGGTTTAGGGCTGAGTGTGGGGAACGGAAAAATAGAACGGTTCAGAAAATGTTGAATTAGGGTGTAGGGATTTAGGGTTCGGGGGTTCAGGGTTAAGGATGTAGGCTGAGGCTCGCAGAAGCCGGCGTATCATGCCTACACCGAAGATTGAAAGTCAAAATCTGCCCTACAAACACGAACAAATCGTATGAGAACCATGGTTTTTGGTACCTTCTGCAGGCCCCACCTCCCTCATGCACGACAATGAATTCTTAAATCCTTGAATCAACCCACCATGCAAGCCCTGAAAAGAGTATGCTGGTACTTGAACCCTGGGACCGTACAGTAGAAGCCAGAAAGTTGGAACATCATTCTCCTCATGCCCTTAAGGTAAATTATTAGGGATTCTAGCACGAATCCTTCTAAAGCCGTGTTCCAACTTTCTGGCTTCTACTATAGAGTGTTCGGCCGTGCGGCGTGGACAAGCTTCTCTGCTTCGAAAGGGTTCAGCTTGCCGAGCATGCCTCGGGTTGCCGTGCTTAGTAGGGTTTAGGGTTTAGGGTTTAGGGGTTTAGGGTTTTAGCATTTGAACTTTATGTTTTGGGTGTTGTTGCTGTTGGTTCTTGAGGGTATGAGCAATGCATACATACATACGTACATACATACATCCATGCATGCATGCATGCATCCATCCATCCATGCATGCATGCACGTACATACATACATACCTACATACATACATACATACATACAGACATACATAAAAAAAAAACATGCAGAGGTACATACATACATAGCTATACATAAGTATGTAGATGTAAACATACACATGTACATGCACAAGTACACATACATACACATATACATGCATACACACATACATACATGCATAGCTTCATGCATGCAGTAATACTTGCTGACTACATGTATGTACGTAGGGTCTAGGGCTTGGATTGTCGATTGCTTGGAGCGGTCATCAAACCTCAGAGGCTTATCCCCAGCCCTCGAGAACCCTGCAACCCTGAACGCTAGCCCCAGGGTTCCAGGGTACCTGAACAATGGGTACTGGAGTACATATTATATAGGTAGTAACCTACTATTTAGGTAGCTGGAGCCCTAGGGTGGCACAAACAAACTCTGAAACCCACGAAGAAGGGCCGAGCCGCTACTAGAGCACACCAGCTCGCTCAATGTCAACTGCTCGTCACCTTGATGCGGGAGGCTTAAGATCACGGGTGCCCTCTGCAGGGTTTAGGGCCTAATTTCACTAGGGATGTTTCGGGGCTTTGAGGGATTTTGATGGGAGTTATATACCAAGGTTATGTGGCAGGCATCTGCCCAGAGACTCCAATATGCCTTAATTAAGGAATTTGCTTTAAATCATATTCGGGATCCTACCATAATTTAAGGCATATTCTGTAATTAAGGAATATTAGAATCCCCTGAACCCTAAACCCTATAGACCCCTTAAAGGAACGCTACATATATATATATATATATATATATTGGAGTTTCTCGGTGTATACCAATCAGGACAGTACGAGTTAGGGCTGAGGCTCGTTGCAAGAAGCCTGGGATGGGCAGCTAGGTCTAGGACCTGCGGTTTTCGGTTCAGGTTTAGTGGCTAGGACCTAGACTAAGGCCCTTATTCCCTGTTTTAGGGTTGCTGGGTTACTCTTGGGTTTAGGTGGATCGAGTCGAAGGTTTTAGGGTGTCTTTCAGGTTTTGGGGTTGGCGAGCCGCATAAAAGACAGTCGCCAACACCCAGGAGTCCAAACCCGAAGACCACTATTTAAAAGCAGACCCTTGATTCCCTAGGCCCTAGGCTGTTCAGTAACGCATTGGGAAGAAGTATATACTTTTTTGGGCTTCTTATTTTATACTAGGAACCCAGAAACCTGACAGTAAAAAAAGTGTAACACTGAACAGCCTGATTCCTTGAGGGTCCAGATTTAGGGTTTGGGGCTCAGGTCGGTTAGGGCTAAACCTCATCTACGCCCAATATTCAAGAGCTTGTAGTGCTTGGAGATAGGCTTTAGCACCTTAACCCTAAACCCTACAAAATAACCAAATACTGTGAGACATAGATATTAAAAAAACTAAGCACTTTAGGATCTCGGTTTCTGGAGTTCGCATGTTGGCACTCAGGGTCCGAAAAGGGTGGGGAGTGCAGGGTTTGGCGGGCTATAGGTTCACCTTCAGGGTTTGAGGGTTTAGTGTTTAATAAAAGGCTCCTAAACCCTAAACCCTTCTCCCTAAAGCCTGCTTCCTGAACTACCCTAAGTCTTCACCGATGCGCTTGTGATCTCCCTTACACGGACAGACCACAACCACCGAACTCCGTAATCCAAGCCACGACTGCACCATGAATGTGAAATCTAAAAGCTACTTAAAGGCTCATGGGACTTAGTAAGTAAGGCTATAAGTAGGTTATAATTAGGATAACCCCACTTAGGGGACTTGTAACCCCAATTATACTAAGTCCCATGATCCTTCAAGTAATCGTAACTCGAAGCAACACCTCGCCCGCACCCCATCGGAGACTATTATTGGGAAGAATATAGGGACTACTATAGGGATCCATTCCCCCGTTCCCTACTAAGCACCAGACAGTCTTTCCAAAACCACATCCAAAAGACACCCCCCAAACCTCTAATATAAGGGCCTTGATATTTGGAATAGGGGTCTGGGGCCCATTATACCATAATTATAAAAAGGAACCGACAAAATAGTTTTGGTAATTAAGTATTTAGGCCTTGTTTTTTAGAACACCCCTTACTTGCTGTTGACAAGATGCCATTGGAGTCGAACTGGCTGAAAGCTGCTTTGCACACTGGCTTCTGCACCCACATTCCTTGTCTCAGCGCTTCTTGGTTTATGGCTGGGGCATTGGGTTTCCTTGGGTCTCATTGTTTTGGAGGCTTTGGGGGCTTACAAGCACTTTTTTATCAAAGCCACTGGGGACCCTAAACCCTAAACCCTCAACCCTGAACCCTAAACCCTAACCCTAAAGCCTGAACCCTAGAATGGAGATTCAGGTCTGTTGGGGCTTCGGGCCTTCGGGTGGAGGGGTTTCGGCTGCGGACTCTTTGACCCACTGATCTCTGCCAACAGAGCTTGAGACTTTCTGCCAACTACATGTGGGGAGTTGTCAAAATCAGGGCCCCTTTTTGGATCCGTAGTATAATACGGCACCTAATATTTAGGGTTCTCAAAAAGGGGACCATAATTTTGACAACTACCCACATGTAGAACGTAGAGCAAACGTTAGCGAAACATCAGAACACTCGTGCAAATGGATGCCTGAATCCCTTCGGCATGCGATGCGATGCGCGTCATGAGTGCTGCTTGCCGCCTATTCATCCAAACCGCAGTGGTCAACTCAATGTGAGGCTAAGTTTCGCTCCCATCCACGATAAGTTTGCTTCATGAAGTGTGTCATGGGTGTTGAGGTGCCGAAATCTTCCAGAAGAATCAAGACCCAGATAAGAAGAAGTTCCAAGGCTAGTTACAAGGTTTAGGACTTTAGGACGCATCACTCGAACTGCCACCCAACTGTCTTGACTCGGAAATATGGGAACTTTATGTATTGAACATATTCATCCCTGCGCGAGCTGCACCTTAAACATCAAAGCACACAGGTAGCCGTGGCGCTGTGGCATGCTCCGCTTGTCTGCCCACATTTTTGAACTTTGTTTCTGCACTGAACGTCTGATGTCCAATATCAATATCTTCTCTCTTCCCGAACCCGAGCCTGCGATTTAGGCTTAGGAACACAGGCGTACTTCCCTGCAACCTGACTTGGAGGGTCAGAGTTGGGGTTATGGTACCTACAACTTTACATGTCAACTACTTGCTAACGCTGCGGCGGCCCATGATTTTTCGAAATCAGAGCGTCAATACAAGCTTCTAATTTCAAACCTTCCCAGACATATACACAATCTTAACCAGACTCATGCATGCATGCCCATCAACGAACTGCAACAGCAACAGAAGTGCATGTTCCCCACGGAACATTGAGAAGTCCAAGACACCAAATTTGGTTGACGCTCAGCGCCCGTCTTCTCACTCACCCTAAGGGTCCATGTACCCAAATAGTATATACTTTGGGCCCAATGTACCTATATAGGGAGTACTTCAAGGCCAATGTATATACTATTTGAGTACTTGGACCCTTTGGGTCAGGTTTTCGGGGTTTAGCAACCCAGCATTTACGTTTACATTGAATTAAAGGACACAAGCCTTCAACCAAAAGCCAGGTACATACCCCGACAAGGCAACACCCTCAACTCCCGAAACGCCTAAAATCCTGAACCCTGTAAACCCATAAATCGCTAACCCTAAACTTACTCCACGCACCAGAAAAAATGTACTGAACTTCAACCCCTAGCAGCAAGTACAATTTTGGCTGTTTCTTAGGGATTATAATAACCAAAAACTACCACAGTTATTTCTATATAAGTATCCCCAAGAAATAGACAGATTCTAGCCGAAGGTCTCTTGTCGAACGTTGCAGCCAGGAACTGCGTGTACGAGATACCAGGCTCAGTCGTCCTTGCGGTTTGGGGGGTTTCGGGCTTATGGTGTTTAGGATCTTAGGATTTAGGGGTTTCTATGGGGCTTAGAGGGCTTAGGTTTGGGCATTTAGGATTTAGAGATTTTGGATGGGGCTGAAAGGGTTTAGGGACTATAGAAGGTTTACTGTTTTAGGATTTAGAGCTATTGGATAGGTCTGAAAAGGTTTAGGGCTTACGATGGATTGGGGATTTAGGGCTTATGGGGCTTGTGGTTTAAAGCTTTGGGGCTTCATGGCTTGTACGTCAGAGCTTGATAGGGCATCGACACGGCTATCTCGCTATCAAAACCAGCATTGTCGCAAATGCTTGTTGTGTCCATTAATGTTGATGGTACTGCTCTACCCAAAGGCCCCAAAGTAGTTCCGTTTTGGGGTTCGTATATAGAATCCTATTTGGTAACCCCAAACAAGGAACTACTTTGGGGCCTCTGGGCATCCTTGCATCAGGAATCTTGTCTGGCTTGTGTGGGCTGCGGGTCCTATCTACAAGGCTTTAGAGGACCTAATGTAGGAACCTGATTAAGAAACCTTGGGCCTTTATTTGGGTTCCTTATATGAATCCTACTATTTTGGGGTTATAGGCCCAGGGTTTCTAATCAGGTTCCTACATTAAAACAGATTTGTCAAGAAATAACATAGACTGGATGTAGTTACGGCCAGTTACGGCGCTTGACTGAGGGTGCCGAAGGAAGGACCTGAGCCTCTAAGAAAACGGCTGGCTGGGCCGGTGGAGTTTGCGCTTACCTAGACTAACTAACGTACCAAAAAGAACTAAATGTACCACTGTTTAGGTGTCATATCCGTCTTGTTGTGCGGTACATTGACTTGGTTGTTCTACAGTAGAAGCCCAAAAGTTGGAAACCCAATAGCCTCAATCCCTAAGAGTAATGTATAGGGAATCCCAGCACTGTTTGGTCTTGATCCGGTTTCCAACGTTTTGGGGCTTACTTTTGGTAGTGCCCGACATTTGGAGGCGAAGTCTCTGGGGCTTCTGGGCTACGAGTTTACACGAGGGCTGAGTGTGTAATATAGAAGCCTTATAAATGATTAGAATTGGGCTTTGGGGTTTGTTATCCTAGAGATAGAATAAGGAACCACCAAAATAGGATTGGCAAATATTTAATTAAGCCCCCATATTAGGGATTATTAGGGTCCAGAACTGCTTCGGAAGCACGGCTGGGACGATGCTCTCTGCTGGAGGGGCTTATGGGTTGTTTGCCGGGGTTTGCGAAATGAAACACACCAGAACTCGGCACCATCATCTGTATGGTCTTGGCACCATTACCGACAAACTTCGCGTGACAATTAGCAAAGCTATCTTACTCATTTCCGTGGCCCCTCCATGTCCTGATTGTTCCAAACATGGCGGATACATCGAGTACGAACCGAAAACCGCCAACATCAGGGAGCACCCGAAGCAGTGGCCTGTAGACCCTAAACACTAAGACTCAACCCCTGTCTGAACCCCAAACCTGAAGCTCGAAACTTGCAATAAGACTGACCAAAGTACCGCGACGCAGCGCTGCCACTTTGTTCGCAGTCACTTCCGGTGACGCTTTCGGCATGCTGGAACATCTGAGGATCCAAATCCTTCGGCAGGTTCAGGGTGTATACGGCTTTCTGATTTCAGGTTTCGGGGCGGGGCTGGTTCATTCGCCAACCAGCCCAGGAATTCTCAATCTCTATCGTGCATTTACGCCCTGCGCCCCGAACCCGGAACCTCAACCCTAAACTCTGAACCCGCAAGCCCAGCCTTAAATGTTCGAACCTACAATCTTAAACCCCATATAGCAATCCGCTATCCCAAGCACCCCTAAATCTCTAAATCCCCTTTCTTCTGCCCAAACCCCTACATCCCCTTTCTTCTGGCAAGCTGCACACTTGCCGAACACATCTGCGAACTCCGTCTCAGAGATGATGCCATCGCCATCACTGTCCAGCAGCCTCTGCTCCGTGATAGAGGGTTTAGGGTTTAGGGTTCAGGGTTTAGGGTATGTCTAGGCTTCAATCAGATTTCAATCGTTTCGTACGACGTTCTACAGCACTATATAGCAGCAGAACGGAATTGAAATTCTAGGTGGCTTGCTTAGTCCAGTCGGCCTACAGGGGGGGGGGGGGGGGAGGGGTTTGGCTTTTAGTATGGCGGCTCAGGGGCCTTGCCAATTTTTCGAGCCAGCGAAGGTTCTAATTTTCAATATGCAGCAATGTAGCTAGCACAGGAAGGGAATGGATTGAAGTTGCTCACAGATGTAAGTGCAGGTGTCAAGTAACGTAAGATCCTCAGGTGCCAGAAACATGAGCTCCCGTTAAAGAAACCCCCCAAACTATGTTCGTGCTTAGCTCACAAGGTCTCAAAGCTGAGCCAGCTGTTGCCCTAGACCCGAAACAGTACCAGTATAGGGCTAATTTCAGAGTTCCACTTCGAAACTAAAAAGCTGCATGCGACTCCTCACATCTACTTCACCTCAGAGACCCTAACCCACAAAGACCAAATTCTTTCAAAGGTGGTTAATTGAACCGAAGGGTTTTGGCAGGCTGCCAAAGAGGACCACTATAGGGCTCTATCAAGGGTTCTAGACGGACTATGTGTGTGTAGGTGTAGAGAGAGAGAGAGAGAGAGAGAGAGAGAGAGAGAGAGAGAGTCTCTCTCGAGTCTCTCTCTCTCTCTCTCTCTCTCTCTCTCTCTTCTATATATATATATATACATATATATATATATTTGTTTTTTGTTTGTTTGTTTATTTAAACATGTATATAAATCCGTGACTCCGAAACCATACTCTCAGAGTTCCGGGCCGACATTAAGGATCTCCGGTTTTTGGACTTGTGTGCTCGGAAATACATCGGGATCCAGATCAACTGGTGCCAACAGCTCCTGGGGCGTAGGATGTATTCTTCTTTTAGAGCTGACGCCTACCACCGGCACGGAAACCGCCCGACCGACTCTGATCCATGCTGCAATCCGAGGCACATGAAGGTGTTCCGGGGGATGCTTGTCTGCTCATCATTCAACATAGTAACGATCACCTGGAATGCAGGCATGACCCTAAACCCCTACACCCTAAACCCGAGGCCCTAGGTGCACTTCGAGTCTAGACCGCAGGTATGACCGATCCATCATGGAGGATGCTTCTTTCGAGGTTCGAGAGCTTGAACGTTCATGCTGCTTGTTTAGGGTTTGCGAGCCCTTATAGGCCCCAATATAGTAGCCGTTATAGTACCCCTTCTCTTACCTTTGGTTACTAGGGAATGGTGGAATGGTGTACAATTAAAACTACTATTACTACCATTCTTCCATTCCCTACTAACCAAAGGTCAATTCTTGAACCCTTAGATGCCGGTTTCGGTCAGAAAGGACCCAACACGTCTAGCTGCGTCTGCGCCAGAAGTCAGCAGAAACCATGAGCTGTATCAAAAGCATGCAGCCTGCACCAAATTTGTGGGACACTGCTCGAACTCTGCAGAATTTCGCAGTTCTTGGAATTACTTCAAACTTGAACATGACTGTGAACCTGAAGTGCCAGATACACGATTCGAGCAGTGATGCTGACATGAGCCTTGCTACGCTTCATTATACCACGATGCAAAGAATAAGGAAGCTGTTTCGATGCAACCGTGCGTGTGCCGGACGCCCTCGGCACGTGAAACCATGCCTGGAGCTTCCTGAAACAGAACATGAAGCAGGGACAAGCAGTTACCTGGACCCCCAAAGTATGTAGAAAAATAGCCTTTCATAGGTTTTGGGCCATTACTTTGAATACTTTGGGGGGTCTAGGTACAGTGGGGCACAAATCTTAACTAAGGAGCGCCACGAATGTTTCAGCGCTCCGTGCGACCCGAGTAGATCTACACAAGCAAAGCGTACGACAAGCCTTCATGTGTACAAGCTCTACAAGCTGCACGCTTCAAGCTCATTGTAGGCAACTACCCTGTCGCCATAAGCAAAGCCCCATACCATATTCCACCTCTCAAGCATGACCCTAAACCCTAAACCCTGAGGTCACAGAAGGTGCCGCTGCCGGCGAGCTGCGTGGAGAGCAGCCCTTTTGAAAACGTTGAGCTCCCAGTAGGTCTGTAGGCCTCCGCCGTGTAGTCTCAGCTGTATGTATATATATATATATATATGTATATATATTTGAGTAATGTCGAGAGATTTACTGGATGCAGATCTGGTTTAATTCAACGATCTCGAGTCTGCACGGCCAAAAGGCAGGACAGGGACACCACCCCGCTCCAAAGCTTTGGTGCTGGTTGGTTTAGGGGTAGAAGTGGTCAGCGGGCTTTAGTGAAGAAGGCTTCAACTGCGTTTGGGCCCTGAAAAAAACATGTAAGGCATGACTGAAGAAGCCGCCTGACATTGATGATTGCCTTCGCAAATACCTACACTTTAGCATGTTTAGCTCGTAATTTACTGTGCGCAGATTTTGACAGGAATCATACTTTGGACCAGTGCTGAGTTGGAAGGTTGGGGCGCTTCTGGGAAGATGGCAGTTAACCCATGAATCTCTCAGCCCGACAGACAACAAGCCCCAGAAACCTCAACCACGAAGCCACGCCTGTGACGACCTCCTCTTTGGTAAGCACCGTTGCTTCCTTTGTATGCCGGTCGGGATCATGTTTGGGCTAGAATCTGAAGGTATGCAGTACAGTTGAGTTGGCGAAAGTGCATTCCCCAACAGACAGTGTTGGAATGTTTCGGAAAAATCTCGCCGCTAATGGCTCCAAAAACCCTAAACCCTAAACCCTAAACCCTAAACCCTAAACCCTAAACATTCAACACAGGACCCCCCAAGTCCCCAAGTACACAAAGCGACCCTCGATTTTCTACAGCTCTCATGTCATGCAATGAACCGGTGTAGTTCGATGCTATGCCCTTTGCGCCTGAACTGCATCAGAGAACCCTTACAATCCCTTATTGAGCCCTTAAGACCGTTATAGAACCGCTTGCAGAATCCCTTGTAGAAGCCCGTAAAAACTTCCTTCTGACCCTCTTCATAGGATCCCTGATAGAACCACGGATAGAACCCACTCTATCGTACAGTAAAAAGTAAAGTGTATAGTGTAATAGTGGAGAGCGTATGATATAGTATAAAATACAAAGTATACAGATGTGTATGATATAGTATAAAATCCAAAGTCCATGATTAGTATACAGATGTTTAAACTACCCAAAGGCCCCAAAGTAGTTCCTTTTTGGGGCTCGTATATAGAATCCTATAGGGTACTCCCAAAAAGGAACTACTTTGGGGCTTCTGGGTAGACCCTTAAAGAAGCCCTAAAAGGGACCCTAAACCCTATAGATCCCTTTAAAGGGAACCCTATAAGCCCCTATAGATCCCCTTTAAGCGATAAACTTTCTGAAACCCCTAATATGGTACCCTAAATAGTAGGATCCCTATTATAAGGACCCCTCAATAAGGTACCCCCAATTTTCGGAAACTCCCATATAACCTTTCTGAAAACCCCGGAAAGCCCAGGCGCTTCTTTCACCTTGTGCCGCCGAAGCCAGGGGTGCTCTGAGGCAGACTGCCTTGCTTCTAAAAAGGGCTCAGTTTAGTTTTGTTTTTTTGTTTTTTAGTGGGCTCTTTTCAGTTTGGGGTTTAGGGTTCAGGGTTTTAGGGTTTAGGGTTTACCTATATAGTCTCCATTGTAGTTCCTTTTTGGGGTTACCTTATAGAATCCTAGTTAAATAACTGGTTAAACCAAAAAAAGGAACTATAATGGAGACTATAGGTAGGGTTCAGGGTTTTAAGGTTTAGAGTTCAGGGTATTAGGGTTAGGGTTCAGGGTTTTATTAGGGTTAGGGTTCAGGGTTTTAAGGCTAGGGTTCAGGGTTTTAGGGTTTAGGGTTCAGGGTTTGAGGGTTGGGGTTCAGGGTATTAGGGTTAGGGTTCAGGGTTTTAGGGCTTAGGGTTCAGGGTTTTAGGGCCTAGGGTTCAGGGTTTTAGGGTTTAGGGTTCAGGGTTTTAGGGCTTAGGGTTCAGGGTTTTAGGGTTTAGGGTTCAGGGTTTTAGGGCTTAGGGTTCAGGGTTTTAGGGTTTAGGGTTCAGGGTTTTAGGGTTCAGGGTTTTAGGGTTAGAGTTCAGGGTTTTAGGGTTTAGGGTTCAGGGTTTTAGGGTTTAGGGTTCAGGGTTTTAGGGTTAGAGTTCAGGGTTTTAGGGTTTAGGGTTCAGGGTTTAGGGTTAGGGGTTGAGGGTTCAGGACTCTATGTACGGAGTTTACGGTCCCTCAGCAGCCCAAACCTGCCGAAATGCATGCAGTGAAGCCCAACATCACAACAAGGACACCATCATTGAGGCCCAATCATACTGACGATGGCTCTACCGCAGAGGCCGTATGTACATATCAACAATCGCCTAGGCCTAGGTCTCTTCCGCAATAATGAGAGGTTACCGCATGCTCATTCAGAACATGGACTACTACTGCGAGCCACCCATGAACCTTCAAGTAACTCTTGCCACGGTACGCTGTGAGGCGTTCCGAGGGATCCACTTTGAGCATTTTCCTCGGCTTCCAAGGCATGAAATGACACATCTTTCAAAGGGGAAAAGGAGGGACCGTTAATGGGGACCCCTATCCTACAATGGGCTATATACTGGGTATATAACAGCTATATTAAGGGTATATACCTAGGGGTCCTTATTAAGGGTCCCTCCTTTTACCCTTGGAAGCTTGAACCCTAACATAGGGCCCCAGAAAAGCACATAAGCAAAGATTAGGATAGGGATATCCCATATAACCCCCCCCGCTATAATGAAGCCCATTAAGGTAGGGATATCCCTGTAAAATGCTTATGTGCTTTTTGGGTTCCTAGTAACTGGGGGTTCGTATCACAACTGCGATACCCTAAGCCTTCAAGGGTTACTTTAAGGGATCTATAAGGGTACGGTAATATAGGGGCCTTAATAATTAGAATGTAGGATTTCGCTTAGGGGTCCATGTACCCGAATAGTATATACTTTGGCCTTAAAGTACTCCCTATATAGGTACACGGGGCCAAAGTATATACTATTTGGGTACATGGACCCTTAGGGATGCCAAGTTTTCCCGGCTTCCCAGAGGCTCAGGGGGACCCCCAGGTATATACCCTTAATATATCTATTATATACCCATTATATAGCCCATTATAGGGTAGGGCCCCATTAAGGGTCCCTCCTTTTCCCCTTTGACTGTCAAGGGCCATGAGTCTTTAAGTCATAAGTGGGTGGCGGGGGTCATTTCCTTTAAAACGCTGGCGAGACGGGTCATGGTTTCGGATTTGATGAGTGGCTTGGTACTGGTACTGGGGCTCGAGGGTTGGGGTTTCAGACTTTTCGGTAAAAGAGCTGAGTTTTGCCTGCGGCTGGGGTTTGAGATTTTGGAGGCTCCAGAAGATCAAGAAGCTGCAGCTCAGGGCGACTTCGAACGAATCCAGCATGGTCGGGCTCATGCTGGCTGCGAGGTGGTGGAACTAGGACTACGGCTGATGATATAAATCCTCCATAACATAATGACCCTAGACAAGGGAATCATGGCATATTCCTTATTATGGGTAGTGCAGGATTTTTATCATCAACCGTATGTCGAGCTAGGACTAGTGCAGGGGCCTTACTAATTATAATAGGGTTTGGGGGGGCTTTAGTTCGGAAGCCCCAAAGTAGTATTGGTAACTAGCTATTTCGGCCCCTATGTAAGGTCCTTATAATGGCCCCTTATAGTAACCCTCATGGACCGCTCTAAAGGAACCCTAGGTCTGGCTGGCTTGCATCCGTGCGTCATCATCAAGCTGATGGCTTGCTGGTTGGTCTCCTGCCACCGCCTTCCGAGAACGTGTCTCCGAAGAGCTTAGGGAAGAGATTACTGTGGGGGCCTTAATAATTAGGATACGGTTGATGATAAAAATCCTGCATTACCTTAAGGACCCGAAACTATGCGAACTATGGGATACTCCTTATTATGGGTCATGCAGGATTTGTATTATCAACCGTAGGGTTCCTTTTAAGGGGTTACTGTAAGGGATCTATAACTAGGTGCTATAATATAGGGGCCTTCACAATTAGAATAGGGTTTTGGGGCCCATTCTGTTAAAATTGCAATGAGGAGCCCCCGAAATAGTGTTGGTAATTGTGTTTCGCAGGTCGCTGGAAGGATGTTGCTGCAGTTGCGAGGTTGTGCTCCGGTGCAAGATAATGTAGGGACCTGGTTAAGAAACCTTGGGCCTTTAATGTAACGGTCCGTTTAGGAATATGGGCTCCTTTAATGCGTCGGCTCGGGGGCTAATTCCGAATCTGACAAAAAAATTGGCTTGTTCTAATTAATGCGTTTTTTTTTGGCTGGGGTGATTTTTTGGTGGCGGGGCTGTGCTATTTGCTGATGGTCAATCTTAAGGCAGCCACGACCTAAACCCCCACCCAAACCCCCACCCAACCCTAAAACCCTGGCCCTGAAGCCCGAAAATCTCTTGCAGAATTGTTTCGCTTATTGGGGCGTCAGGAATGAAAATCTGTACTACTACTGTACTACTACTGTACTACTATTCTACTATACCTTGATTATTGGGGGGGCTGCTAGGGTGAACCGCCGAATCGGGGATTGGACCCTAGCTCAAAAGAGGCCTCTCCAGTACTAAAGTTTGTATAAAAAATTAAGTTTTGGGTCGAATCTGGACCCCCCTTTGGAAGGGTTTAGGGCTTAGGGTTTAGGGTTTGTTATAGGGTTTAGGAGTTTAGGATTCGTTAGGGTTTAGGGTTTGTTAAGGTTTAGGGTTCAGGGGTTTAGGGTTTCAGGCGCTGGCTTTATGCTTTGCTTATTGGGGGAATGTGCTCACTGGCTTTATGCTTTGCTTATTGGTACTATTTCTGTACTATTACTGATTACTACTGTACTACTGTACTACTGTGGTACTACTACTGTACTACTAGTGTACTACTGTACTACTATTGTACTACTACTGTACGATTACTGTACTACTATTGTACTACTGTACTGTTATCGTACTACTACTGCACTACTATTGTACTACCACTGTACTACTGTTGTATTACTATTGTACTACTGCACTATTATTGTACTACTACTGTACTACTACTGTACTACTACTGTACTACTATTGTGCTACTATTGTACTACTGTACTATTATTGTACTACTAGTGAACTAGTGTACTACTATTGTACTACCACTGTACTACTGTTGTATTACTATTGTACTACTGCATTATTATTATACTACTACTGTACTACTACTGTACTACTAGTGTACTACTGTACTACTATTGTACTACTACTGTACGATTACTGTACTACTATTGTACTACTACTGTACTGTTATCGTACTACTACTGTACTACTATTGTACTACCACTGTACTACTGTTGTATTACTATTGTACTACTGCACTATTATTGTACTACTACTGTACTACTACTGTACTATTATTGTACTACGGTACTATGTACTACTACTGTACTACTGTACTACTATTGTGCTACTATTGTACTACTACTGTACTATTATTGTACTACTACTGTACTACTATTGTACTACCACTGTACTACTGTTGTATTACTATTGTACGACTGCACTATTAGTATACTACTACTGTACTACTACTGTACTACTATTCTACTATACCTTGATTATTGGGGGGGGCTGCTAGGGTGAACCGCCGAATCGGGGATTGGACCCTAGCTCAAAAGAGGCCTCTCCAGTACTAAAGTTTGTATAAAAATTAAGTTTTGGGTCGAATCTGGACCGACCCCCCTTTGGAAGGGTTTAGGGCTTAGGGTTTAGGGTTTGTTATTATGTTTACAGGCAGAACAGCCAGAATGCAGACGCATATTTTCTTGAGCCAATGAATGACGGTAGGTGCAGTTGACTAGCTACATCTTCCACAAAATACACCCCCCGCGCATCTTAGTGCAACGGTTGAGGCGAAGGCGATGGAAGGAAAGACTAGTCACTAGACCGTCGTAAGCATATCACTTTGTGACAGCGAAAACAACTTGTAACAAAAGCAAATTATGCGGCCAATGTTTTGCGCCCTTTGCTGTTCGTACGGGCAGGATAGCTACCAACCCGTTAGGGCGGTGCCGACGCTTAAATCTCACTTCACTACTAACCAGACGGCATCTAAATGTCTCAGAATACCATCCCGTTAGGGAGGTGATCAAGCTCGGCGTAATGGGCCGTCGATCAAATGACCTCAGTAGATGCGGTCACGGCGGTTGGTCCTGTAGTTGTAGACCTCATGGACCCAACCTGACAAGAACCACTGAGCATGAGAGGTGTCCAGGATCGTGAAGCCATGTGGATTACCATGAGTAGGAATGGCATTCACAACTGAAGTAGGCTGGATGTAATCTTCGGTCATCGCAGCGAACACCGCCCATTGGTACATGTCAACGCGGTGCCAGTCCATTCGCCTGGCAAGCGCAGGATCGATGATGTTGCCGGAAAGATTGTTCCCCAACACGAAGTGCGGGTACAACAATCCTGCGACCCTGAGCTGCTCAAAGAAGTTGACAACAGTCTCACGCATCCGGACCTGTCGGTCGGAGACATTTCTCGTCTCGAAGAACACGCCGAAGGTCGGTGGGTCATGGGGTCGCCGGCGATAGGTCTCGGACCATTCGCGCCTTGTGCCGAGATCAACAGCAGAGGACGGCATAGTGGCATCGGGAGCAACCGTTTCCGGTGCTGGATTGCTGAAGCCTGTACCAGCCCGCATTGCATCCCAATCTGCGTCACTGATGTAGTCGGACGGATCACGTGCCACACGCCTGGGCGGCGGCATCGCAGGCTCCCGAGGGATGCGATCGGTAGATGAGCCCGCTGCGTCTCCAGGGTTGGTCCGGATATGGACCTCGGTCGGACGATGTCTGGCAATCGGGGACCTTGTGCGATTGCGGTCTGCTGGACCCGATGCACGCTCGTCAGAGCTGCGACCTCGTCGTGCAGGAGATGCCGGAGGCTCAGGTGGGCGACGCTCGGACGCGGGTGCCGAAGTGGTCAACCTCACGTGGCCGCTCTCCCCGATACGCTTGTCCATATAATATTGCTGGTACCGACGATAGTAAGGGGTATTGGCCAGCAGCTCGTTGAGCTGACGTTTGCCAAGTCCCTGTGCCTCAGCGGGTACCTGCAGATTTCTCTGGGTGCGTAGAGAAGGGTTTGTCTTCTCGATCCTTGTCCGGCTCAGTGGCAATTGTGCCTGGAAGAAAGTAGCCAGCTCGGCCATGATCGGCAAGATTTCATTCTGCACGACGATGTATTTCTCCCCATCGTACTGCAGGATGGAAAACTCATGCTGGTTCGATTTCACAGCCTTGATGAGAACTGCAATCTCATTGATGGTGTAAAACCGATCATGAAAACAAATCAGACACTCCGTGAGGAGGTCGATTTCAAGCTGGCCTGTCACCCAGAGGAGGGCAACCTTCCCGGTGGCATCATAGTAGGTGGACGAACCATGCCCTTTTCCCTTGCCCTGAGGATCGGGAAGCCTCACGTTAGCGAAGCGTTGCAGCGCCTCGACAGTGTGAAAGCTGAGACCCATTTTGGCGTAGTTGTGAGCGGTGATTGGGTCCACACTGTATTGCCCCTGCGGAGTGGTATTGTGGAGCTTCTCCGCTCTCTTCTGCTGATTGAGGACCTTCTGGCGGATGCCAGACGCTGTGCTTTGAATGCGTTCCCTTTCTTCTGGCCCTTGAGTCTTCACGCGCTGGCGTGTGAGCCCCGAAGATGGCTGCAAGTCAATGATGTTGACCTGCCTGCCCTCTCGGGCGGCGCTTCGCCGGAGTCTGTCGGGCTCGGCGATAATCGCAATGTCGGTCATTTCGATGAGACGACGTTGGCAACCTGGACAGGAGATCATTCCGTCCATGTACTTGTGATTGCACGAGCTGCAATGGTACCCGGGGTAGAGGATCAACTCCTGTTTAATCCAGTGCCTTGGTTCGATCCTCTGGCGAAGTCGGATCCGCTTGCCTTCCATGGATGGCCAGACGTGGATACCGATCCCGAGCGAGCCGTCATACGTTTCGATGAGCTGGTCCTCGTTCTTCTTTCGCTCGATGACTTCTTCGCCGACCTCGCTCAAGATGTCCGCCGAAATGCGAAATGGGGTCTTGCAATCGATTGCGACCGGCGCCCACTCAGCGATGGTGAGATTCTCGGCGCTTTCCAGCAAGTCGAGAAAGCAGTTGTGCTGCTCCAAGGCAAAGTGATCCGGACCAAAGATGTATTTATGACTTCCATCCTTGTTCCAGCTCGCTAGAGCGGAGTCGATGTTCCGACGGAACGCCTGGTAGGCCGGATTGACCCACACAGGCTCTGCTGTGCCCCGCTGATAAGCGTAAACCAGATATCGATTGCTGATCCAATCTGGTGTCTCCAGTGCCCCGGAGCGAGTCTCGAAGAGCCGGACGCCGTCCAAGACGGCCATTTGGAGATCGATGGCGAACTCGACGTCCGCCGCCTCGCGAAGGCCCGCATTATCATCCCTTTTCCATTCTGGTTGCTTTGACATCATGACAAAAGCTCTGCTACCACTCTCGTGGAGCGCGGCACCACCAGGCAACAATCCGTATCTGATGATATCTGGGAAGTGCCTCATGAAGGTGCCGTGGTAGCCCAGTTTGCAAGGGAAGTCGACAAACTCCTGGGAGAACATGTCGAACGGATGAATTTTAGGCCGAGTCGCTAGACTGGCGTCCCATGGCACAAAGGAATGCACCACGGAGTGGATGTCAGCGAGTTCGGTATCGTCACCGAAGAGCCCTGACCAATGCCCATGGATAGCCCGAGCTCGAAGCACGTCA